GTGCCCTCTCTTCTTATCAGCTGGACGCTTCACTCTCCACTCTAGTCCTCTGTGGCTATGTCACTGACTCTGGGTCCAAGAGTCCCCTGGACTTGCCACACTGATGGCCAACCAGGCCTCCACCCGGGTTCACAGGAATCTATTGAGCATTGTAGGGTTTAGCTCACAATTTCATTGCTGCTTTTCCTTCACTTCCCCTTATCGGTGAGGAATGTGGTCACCATTCAGAACCTGTATTCCCACTGAGTCTTAGTCTTAGAAGTAGGTTTGCCCTGAGGAGGACCCGACCACTTGTCTTGATGTCTACTGGGTGAGCAACTTGTTTGTTCTTGTAGTAATCAGTCCGTGTGCCTATATTGTTTTGTATTTTTCCTTTCAGTCAATTCACTCATATCAATAATTACACTGAAAGTAAATGGATTAAATAGACCAGACAAGAGACAGAATAGCAGAATGGATAAGAAAATTGGATCTTTCAATATGCTGTTTACAAGAGGCATATCTTACACACAAAGAATTAAACTAAAAATAAAAAAATGGAAAAAACATATCAAGCTAATAGCAATCAAAAACGAGCAGGAGTGTCAATTTTAATCACTGATAAAATAGACTTTAAGGCAAAAACCATCATAAGAGACTAAGAAGGACATTATATCATAATTAAAAGGTCAGTTGAACAAGAGGACATAACCAGAATAACTATCCATGCCCCAATGAAAGAACCTTAAAATACATTAATCAAACTCTAATAGAACAGAAGAAAAAAAATAGACAATTCTACAATCATGGTCAATTCAAACCGACCTTGCAGTCCAGTCCATTATCCCATAGTGGCACACCAGGATTCTAGATTTTAATACACCACTTTTGATGAGGGACAGAACTAGAAAGAATCTCAACAAAGACACAGAACTAAACAACACAATCAACCAGCTTGACCTCACAGACATATACAGAGCACTCAACCCAACAAACAGCACAATACACATTCTTTTCCAGTATGCATGGAACAATTTCCAGAATAGATCATATGTTAGGCCACAAAGCAAACATCAAAAAATTTAAAAACACCAAAATACTACAAAGCATCTTTTCAGATCACAATGCTATAAAATTAGAAATCAACAATAGGAAGATCAAGGTTAAAAAAAAAATCTAAAATACATGGAAATTGAACAATGTGATGCTTAAAAGCTACTGGATAATAGATAAGATAAAAACTGAAATTTAAAAATTCCTTGTGTCAAATGAGAATTAAAATACAACCTACCAAAACCTTAGGGATACAGCAAAAGCTGTGCTCAGAGGGCAATTTGCTACAATAAACACACACATTCAAAATGAAAAAAGAATAAAAAAATCAACACCTTAACCATATATCTCCAAAAATTAGAAAAAGAGCAGCAAAGTAAGCCTACTGCCACTCCCCCCCCCAAAAAAAGAAATAATAAAGGGTAGAGCAGAAATAAATGAAATAGAAAAACAATAGGAATAATCAACAAGACAAGAAGTTGGTTCTTTGAAAGGATTAATAAAATTGACAAACCATTGACAAATCTAACAAAAGAGAAGAAGAATATACAAATAAAATGAATAAGAAATTATATGGGTGATGTCATGACAGAATCAACAGAAATAAAAAGGTTAGTAACAGAATATGAAAAATTGGACTCTAACAAATTTGAAAAATTAGAAGAAATGGACAAAGTTCTTGAAACGCATAATCTACCTAAACTACTAACACAGACTGAAGTGGAAAACCTGAACAGGTGTATAATAAGAGAAGAAATTGATCTATTCATTAAAAAAAAAAAAGACTCCCAACTGAAAAAAGTCCAGGCCCAGATGGCTTTACTGGTGAATTCTACCAAACATTCAGAGGACAGCTGGAATCAATTCTACTCAAACTATTCCATAATATAGAAAAGGATGGAAAACTCCTAAATTCATTTTATGAAGCAAGCATAAAACTCTGATACCAAAATTAGGCAAAGACATCACTAAGAAAGAAAGTTATAAACCAATATCCTTCATGAACATAGATGTGAAAATTCTCAACAAAATCCTAGCAAATAGAATCCAACAATATATAAAAAAATAATACATCATGACCATGTGGGATTCATATCAGGTATGTAGGGATGGTTCAACATTAGAGAAACAATTAACACAACCCACCACATAAATAAAGGGAAAAATTCATGAACATATCAATTGATGCAGAAATGGCATTTGACACAATCTAACACTCATTCCTGATAAAAACACTCAACAAAGTAGCAACAACATAATTAAGGGCATATATACAAAACCAACAGCCAACATCACTCTCAATGGTGAGAAACTGAAGTCATTCCCGTTTTGAACAGGAACCAGACAAGGATGCCCTTTTTCACCACCCCTAGTCAATATTGTTCTGGAAGTCTTAGCCAGAGCTATAAGGCAAGACAGGGGAATTAAAGTACTTATTAGAGTCCTAGTGTGGTGCTGTGGGTTAATGCGCCAGACTGCAAAGCCATTTGAACTGCAAGGTTGGTGGTTCAAGTTCACCAGCTGCTCCTCGGAAACCCTATACAGGGTCCCTATGGGTTGGAACCGACTTGACGGCACTTCACAACAACAACCGAAGTATTTATCCTAGTACCTGGCACAGCATAAACCTATCCTTACTCCTCCTAGGGGTCACTGTTGTCTTGTCCTGACTTTTTCAATTCAATTTCTCATTAAAGAGACTCAAAGCAGAGTTAGAGGTAGAATCTTTTCAAATAAGAAAACACAGAAGAGTTTGTCTTATAAACAGTAAAGCACAGTATACGCTTTGGAGCTCCCTTCTGCACCAGGATCCACTCTCCTGGTAGGAACCAGGTTAGAGTCAACAAGGCATTTCAGAGAACTCTTGTTAGATTCAAAAATAATAATAATAGGCCTCCTTGTTTGTTAAGTCTAAAGGTTGGCTGTTTGAACTCATTCAGAGGTACCACAGAAGAAATGTCTGGTGATCTACTCCTGTAAAATTACAGCCAAGAAAACCATAAGCAACTTGGTTCTACTCTGTAACACATGAGGTCTCCTGAGTTGGAATCAATTTGGTTCTGTTATGTGCTTTCCTGAACAATATTTTTTTAACTTGTTATAATCTTTATTCCCTTTAAGGAGTTCTGATAGTGTAGTGGTTACGAATCAGGCTGTGAACCGCAAGGTCAGCAGTTTGAAACTACCAGCTGCTCCGCGGGAGAAAGATGAGGCTTTCTGCTCCCGTAAAGATTTACAACCTCGGAAACCCTGTTCAGGGTCGCTATGGGTTGGAACCGATACTGGTACATGAGTATTTACAGCACTTAACAACAACAACAACAACAATCTTTATACCCTTAGGTAAGGATCAGCAAATATTGCATATATGTCCGCCTCTCTTTTGGAAGTGGATTCTCTGCATGGAAGTCTTCCTAGGACTGCTCTAGGATCTGAGCCACAGAAATAGGGCAGAGATCGCTTGTTGGGCTGCCTGGGCCCAGGCTGCTAGAACAACACTTGGCTCACTCAGCCAGAGTCCACGGACCTGAGGGGACTGGCAGGCTCCACCAGCCTCTCAGCACAAGTGGCCACAAGCCCAATGGGCATGGTCTGCTCACGCGAGGGTGGTGGACCAGGAACGGAGAGCCGTGACTTCTGCCTCAGACAGATGTGGACTCTTTCTGCCTCACGCTAAGGCTGTCTCAACAACGTTAGTTTCCTGACTGAAACTCCAGTTGGACACCTGCCAAGTGTTTAAACTGGGACCCTTTACCACCCTCTGGCCTGTGTCCTCAGAACTGCTGACTCCTGGGTTGAGCCCAGAGCACTTGCCTCATCGCCCTGGGGAAAAGAGGACAATTCACCAGCCACAAATGTGAGTAGTCTGCAAATCCCCTGGGAAAGAGATGTGGCCTTGAGTTCATGGGAAGGCAAATGGGGTAACAACCCCAGAACCCTTTTGTCTATGTCCTCCTACCACTAGAAAACAGGGACCAAAGCATTGGCTCTCGGTCCAACAAGCTGCCTCAGCGCTCTGTCTTGTAGAGACTGTACTCACCTATGGTGGCCGGAAGGTGCATGGTGGCAGACGCCTGGGAGGTGAACGCGCTGAAACACAGAACCAGGGACTTCAGGCTCAATCAAGTGGTTAATCAGCATCCCTGCTCTAGTAACCCACCCGGATGTCCACCCAGACCACCCCCAGAATCCTGCTCCAAATCCTCCAGCAGCCAGTTCCAGGTTGGACTGGGGCCAGAGCTCAGCTGAACTGAGCCATCCCAGGGGCATATCCACCGGTTCAAGCCAAGACTGCCTCTTTTCTGGTTCTCCATTCCACTCTAGGAAACCAGTCAAGGGCACAGATGACGCTCATGAGGACCGTGGAGGAATCAGAGAGTGGACCAGCGGGTACTAGGAGGCACAGAGGTGAGCCCAGGTGGTCCATAGCCCTCCGCCCACAGCCAGGAGCTCGATGTAGCTGGGTCTAACTCAACCAGGCCAGGGCAGCCAAGTCACAACTCAAATGTGGCACCAAGACCACCATACTGTTCTTGTCACCCCAGCCATGTCAGCTCCCCCCAAACAAACACCAATGTCTACATGCCCCTCACCGCTTCCGAAGCTCCGTGTCATCTCTGAGCCGGGCTTGGTTGGCAGACAACAGGTTCTGTAACAATGCTCTTGCCTCCTTCCAAGCAGCCTGTCCCAGGCCCATGAAGCTGTTGAGGGTTGGCTAGGACCAAAACAGGGAGAAAGACCAGTCATGGGAAAGCCCTGGGGACACCCTTGTCATCTATCCCCCATTCACTCCACCTCTCAGAACCTGACTTCCTAGTTTTGCCATCTGATCATCACGCAGAAGAAAGGCCTCATCTCTCTGTGATGGAACTGTGATGCCCCCCCACCCCATGGACAACACCTAAGAGCTGCCCCCTCGAATAGCTAACCCTGTTGTCTTAGTCTCCTAGCGCTGTCAGAACCACAATGACCACACGTGGACGGTTTTGAGACACAGGAAAGTATTTTCTCACTAAAAGTTCAAATCAGGGTCTCAGCTCTACAGGTTCCTTCTACGGGCCTCTCTTCTAGTTCTGGTGACTGGCATAAATCCATGGCAATCCTCAGAGTTCTGTGACATCTATTTTCCGTCTGTGTGTGTCTGTTTAGTGTGTTTCACTCAAAAGCGATCAGGGTTAGGACCCACCATGACCTTATTAACATGACATGACAAAAGAAACCCTGATTTCCAAACATGACCAGTATCTACAGGCACTGATGCCCAGGATTTTAACACAAGTTTTTTTTTCAACATATATTTTGTGGAGGAACCAATTCAATCCATGACACCTGTTATGCTTACAGTGGTTCCGTTGGACCTGTTGAACTGCAGGACTGCAGCTGACAGGGGTACACACTCCAGTGTGCATGGTGTCTCTCAGTGTAAACTGATCCCCTTTATGTAAGTTACCAAGAGGTTTCTTGGGTGTGAAAAAGGATACTGGTACATGAGTATTTATTTATCTTTCCTGCAAACACCACTGCAAAAGGATGCAAACTTCTTCGATATTATCAAACATCTTAAGGCAATGAGTAGCTGAACCTGGGGACTTGACCAGAGTCTCATGGGTAATGGGCACAACACAGTCCACAAAGACAATGTTCTACATCCTATTTTGGTGAGCAGCATCTGGGATATTAAAAGCTCATGAGTGACTGTCTAAGGTCTCTCCATGTGCCGAAGAAAGAAGATCAATGAGAATGGAAGATACTTGGAATCAACTTGTCTAATGGACTAATAGAACATGCGAACATCAGTCTCCATGACTCTGAAACCAGAAGAACTGGATGGTGCCCAGCTGCCACCACCAACGGCTCTGAACAGGGTCACATTAGAAGGTCCCAGATAGAGCAGCATAATGTGTAGAACAAAAGTCAATTTATTTTCAATGGGCTTACTGGTTAGAGACTGGAGGAACCTGAGACTATAGCCCTGAACACCCCGTCTTTCAGCTAAGCAGTAGGTAGGTATAATAGGGAAAACTACAACACTAGTGAGGTATGCTCACTATAAATGATGGAACTGTCAGTCATTCATAATCAAAGGGGCAACATGGACCTAGGACAAAGGTGAGAAGGCTGGAAAGGCAAGTGGACGGGAACTAGGAGCCACAGGGAGGAAGCAGGATAACTGATGTTGCAGGGAGGGGATTGCAATCATTGAAATGATTTGTTGAATGTAAAACTGATGATCTTGTCTGTCAACCTTCACTCAAGTCACAATAAAAAGTTAAAAAAAAAAAAACAAAATCAGGTTTCTTGAGGGGAATGAAATATGAGTACTTAACAGATACTTATTGTTGTTAAGTGACATCGAGTCAATTCCGACCCATAGCGACCCTGTATAGGGTTTCCAAGGAGCAGCTGGTGACCTTGAACCACCGACCTTGCAGTTCAAACAACTTTGCAGTCTGACACATTAACCCACAGCGCCACACTAGGACTCCTAATAGATACTAGGGTTCCATATTCTAAAAACTTAAAAAAATAGTAATGTTGGCACAAAATGGTGTATAAAATTAATGTCATTGAATTGTATACTTTAAAATGGCTAAGATGGCAAATTTTATATTATACATATACAAAAGGACTTAAAAAGATTATGGAAAAATGGAGTTAAAAGATAACAGAATTTTCCCATGACCTTTTTGAAGCCCCCTTTTGTTTTTCCCCAGTTTTTTTGTTTTGTTTTGTTTTTTGAGGTTTCCCAGACAGTGGGATATGACAGGAATGAACTGTGGATTCTGAAGGTTGGAGTTGAGTCCAGCCTCGAACCATTTGATGATGGACAAATTGTACCTCATTTCTGATACTTAGTCCTTATCCATATAATGAGGGTTACAATTCGGATGCTAGAAAGTCCTTGTGAAGACTGAATGAGACAGCCTGGCACATGGTGGTGGTTCTGTGCCGTGGAGTCAGTTCTAACTCACAGTGACCCTACACAGGCTTTCCGAGGCTGTAAATCTTTACAGGAGCAGAAAGCCTCACCTTTCTCCCGCGGAACAGCTGGTAGTTTCGAACTGCCGACCTTGAGGTTAGCAGTCCAACTCATAACCACTATGCTACCAGAGCTCCTTGGCACACAGTAGGTGCTCCTTGGCTCTCCTTCTGACTCATAGACCATGTAGATAAACATCAAAATGCCTGGCCCTTTCTCTGCAGGGAAGCAGATGCATCCCCACCCCACATGTGCCTGTACTTGAAGCTGACAGCCAGTGCATAGAGGGCCCTTGGGGCCGTCTGTCCACTCTCTGCAGCCTATACCTGATGACCTGGGGGACAGGGCTCATGGTGCCCTCCCTAAGAGGGCCCACACAGGAGGCCTTAGGCAGGCAGAGCCTCAAACAGCTTTGTGAAGACATTAACCAGATTTGTTGACAAGCCTCACCTCTGCAACTGAGAACACTCAGGTCTGCAAAATAGTCATTGACACCAGAACATTCCTTTTGGTCTCAGGCATGTAGGAACCTACTCTGACATGCCATTCCTGCCAGCCTATCTGTACCAGAGCCAGCCCAGCCTTATCCAGTTAAAACTGCTGAAATCAAACGCACCAGCTCTATCAGAAATGTACTCCGAAATGGAGAGCAAAGAACATTTTCAGGAAGACATTTACTATAAGAGCCACTGATATCAGGGAGCAGACATGTGGTAATGTCCTACCTGATCAAAGACATCCTGGTGTTTGGAGAGGGCAGGTCCAGTGAAGAGATGCTTAATGACGCTGAGGTCGAGGATCTGGTCGCCAATTGCCACGCCAATCCTCGGTCTTGGCTAGAAGACAGATGGCATGGTCAGTGCTAGGGAAGGACTTACAGAGGGCTTGTCTCATTTGCATGGGAACCTGTCTATATAGAAGCTTCTCTGGCTCCCCCAGCAGTGGCCCTCTTCCTAGAGCTGGCTGAGGAATCTGATTCTGGGCTGAAATCAACCCCGTGTTCTCTGCTTAGACAGAATCCCTTGCCATCTCTGCTTCTGGGACAGACTCTGCGTCTGCTGAATGAGAAGTATGTCAAATACCTCAAGCACAACTCCTCGGCATGGAGAAAGAACTGGCACTCAGTCCAAGACCCTTACCCAGCGACCAGTAAAACCAGTTACCATTGAGTCAATTCTAACTCATGCAACCCCATGTGTGTCAGAATAGAACTTTGCTCCATAGTGTTGTCAAAGGCGGATTTTTCAGAAGTAGATAGCCAGGTCTTTCTTCTGAGGGGCCTCTGGAAAGACTTGAGCCTCTCACCATTTGGTAAGCAGTTGAGCACATTAAGCACCTGCACTACCCAGGGACTTCCTATCCAAGAGTAATTGTTGTTATTAAGTGCCAACAGATAGGTTCCAACTCACAGCGACCCTGTATAGGGTTTCCGAGGAGCAACTGGTGGGTTTGAACCACCAACCCTTCGATTCAAACCGACCTTACGGTCCAGTGCTTATCCTATAGTGTTGCATCAGGATCCCACCAGGCGTTATTGTTGCTGTTAGGTTCCATAAAGTCGGTTCCGACTCATAGCTACTCTGTATAGGGTTTCTGAGGAGTAGTTGGTAGATTTGAACTCTCAACCTTGTGGGTAGTCACCAGCTTAGAAGGGCCATAGAGAGCTCCCAAGTGTTAAGCTTCAGTGACCCCAGTGGTGAGGAGCTAGCCACTTTACCAAGCAGTTGGTTTACGCTTGATCAGCTGTAACCCAGGCTCAAGGGATTTCTGTACACAGCAGAGCAGCTAGCATTCACACACAGTGTCTCCGGTCATTGTGCCCCATTGCGCTCCAAGAGCAGAGCGCAGGTCAGGACAGAGCCCACAAGCTGACTGCTTAGGCAGTGTGGAGCAAGTTCCTTTCTGGACTGTAATATCTCACCATCACAGCTATTAGCATGTCTGCAATATTTGAAAAAGCTTGATCTTTGTCCCCAGGCCCCTGAGCTTTGTTTGTGGAATCGACCTGCTGGGGCTCTCTCCTCAGCCAGATATCCAGCTCTCCAAACCCACCAGCTTGCTTTTCTGCCATTGCAGCTCCAGGAAGTGTTAGCTGCTGTCGTTAGGTGCCAGGCAGTCAATTCATACTCATAGCGACCCCATTGGTCAGAGCAGAATTACCCCATAGGGTTTTCTTGAGGAGCCCTGGTGGCGTAGTGGCTTACGCGGCTCACCACAGATCAGTTGAAGCCCCCTAGCCTCTCCTCAGAATGATGAAGCTGGCTGTTCCTGTACAGATTTAGAGTCTTGGAAGCCCTACACGGGGTTAAGTCAGAATAACTTAACGACAGTGAGTTTCTTGCATTTTTTAATTTTGTTTTGTCTCTTTTATAACATTCGGTCATATCTGATATAAAGTTGTCTAAATGAAAGTCTTACCCAATTCCCAGCTTGATGTACAAGATGGAAAGTTTAGGGTTTGGAGGCTGACAGATGTGAATTCCAACCTCAAATCTGCCTCTTCAAGGCCTGAAGCCAGAAGCATGATTCTTAGCCTCTCTGAGCCTCAGATTCCTCATCTGTAAAATGGGGACAATAAAATAATGGCCGGTTTGTTGTGAGAATTCAGTTAATTAAAGCTACAAACCTGCAAGAGGAGATACAAAGTAGACCTTACTCAAACAACATTTACTGAGCATCTACTACACCCCAGCAGTGCACTGGGGCTGCTAAGGCCAGGGGAATGGAAAGAAGTGATTTGGTTCCTGTCTTCGAGAAGACAAAGGAAATGACAGGATATGTTGTTGCTTATGGCTTAGTGTCATGGAGTCGGTTCCAACTCATAGCGACCCTCCTTCCAAGGAGTCAGAATCTTCTTGCTGGCACACAACAGTCCACGAGCAACCCACAACCTGAGGAGGTACTGCCTGTGTCTGATCATCAATCTCTGTCTTGGTGTAGAGTGGAATCGGAGCTTACCTTTTAAATTGGGGGGAGAAATTCAAGTAAAAAAATACCATAAACAATTTCAAGGGACTCAGTTTTCCCTACCCAGGCACCAGTTTCCTAAGATATCTTTATGCTAACCAGGATCTAAGATGGGCTAGACTCCGGGGCTAACCTAAAGGTGGAATTTGTAAAAATGTTCGAACTACAGGAATAAATTCACCATTGTCCCACCTAAATTATGAAGAGCTATTATGAGTAGGAACCAACTTAAAGGCAAAGGGTTTGTTTTTTCATGTGGCACTGTAGTGTAAGCACTGGACTGCAAAGTTGATTTGAATCGCCAAGGTTCGCAGTTCAAACACACCAGCTGCTCCTCGGAAACCCTATATAGGGTCGCTATGAGTCGGAACAGACTCCATGGCACTTAACAGCAACAACATGCGGGAAGAAGAGCAGCCTAGAGTGGAAGCCCACCTCTCTTGGAATGTTGGGGCCCCAGAGTGGTAGCTTCAGACACGGTCTGCTCATCTGGAAGGCCCTGACCCTTCTCAAATGCCTGTACCTCAACACTCTTATAGGACCACAGTGAAGAGGGGCTGTCTCCCCCACACAGCCCTGTTTGCTATCTGTCTAATGCACTTTCTAATATTGAAAGAGCAGGGCATGGTGTCTGAGGCCCCAGCTGTACTATCGTCATCATTGTTAAGTGCCATTGTAGTGGGTTCTGACTCATAGCAACCCTGTTTAGGATTTCTGAGGAGCAGCTGGTGAGCTTGAACTGCCAACCTTGCAGTTCAAACTGACCTTGCACACCAACGCATTAACCCACAGCACCACGCCAGGACTCCTAGTTGCACTCTGAGGAGCATGAATTCCAGATTTTTCTGGAAACACCAGCCAAGCACATACTGGAATGCGCCTGCCTCTCATCAGTGTTTCCGTCTGTTTGTGCTCCCAGGAAAGGCACACTGCTGAGGGCAAAGTACAAGAGGACCGCTCATTTCAAAGACAGGGTAGTTGGCTAACTGGGGTGAAGGTTTAACATGCTTTGTATTTTGTCCCTGGAAGTGGACAGTGGATATCAACTTCTTGAGTCCTTGCAACACCTGGTCAGGTCTAGCAATTGTGAAACCACAAGTTGGCTCTTCTACACCAAGGCATAGGCCACTGGTTGTTGTTGTTGTTAGGTGCCATCGAGTCGGTACTGACTCATAGCGACCTTACGCACAGCAGAACGAATCAATGCCCGATCCTGGGACAACCTCATAATTGTTGCCACACTTGAGCCCACTGATGCTGACACTCTGTCAATCCATCTCGTTGGGGGTCTTCCTCTTTTTCTCTGACCCTCCACTTTACCAAACATAACACCCTTCTCCAGTGATTGGTCCCTCCTGACAATATGTCCGAAGTATGAAAGATGAAGTTTGGCCATCTTGGCCTCCAAGGAGCACTCTGGCTGCACTTCTTCCAACACAGATCTATTGGTTCTTTTGGCAGCTCATAGCACTTTCAGTATTCTCCTCCAACACCATAACTCAGATGCATCAATTCTTCTACAGTCTTCCTGATTCACTGTCCAGCTTTCACATGCATATGAGGTTATTGAAAATACCATGGCTTGGGTCAGGCCACTGGTAGGACCTGGCAGGACCACAAAAAGTCAGCCACTTGAGTCCAATGACCAGCCTGGGAAGAGAGGCTGTCAGAAGCCCCATTAACCAAACATTTCCTGAACACTGTTGGGTACAAGCAGATCCTGGAGTTCTATGGTTTACAGAGGGGTCCCGGGGTGGTGGTGCAGCTAACACTCAGCTGCTAACTGAAAGGTGAGAATTTGAATCCACCAACGTGCATCTTACTATCTCTGGTAGCGTAGTGGTTACGAATCGGGCTGCGAACCTTAAGGTCAGCGGTTCGAAACTACCGGCTGCTCCGCGGGAGAAAGATGAGGCTTTCTACTCCCGTAAAGATTTACACCCTCGGAAACCCTGGACAGGGTCGCTATGGGTCGGAACCGACTCGACGGCACTTAACAACAACGTGCATCTTGGAAGGAAGATCTGGAGATCCAGTTGCAAAGAACCAACCAATGAAAATCGTTTAGAACACAGTTCCACACATGGGGTCACACCAGGGCTAGTGAAACTGCTCGACTTAGGTGTCGTTTATGGTCAAGTGCATTTGACTCATAGCGACACTATCTAGGGTTTCTAAGAGCAGCTAGTGGGTTTGAACCACCGACCTTGTAGTTAGACGTCCAGTGCTGATCCTATAGCACCACACTGGACCTCTAGGGAAACCACTAGATGGCAATTCTTTCATTTACAGAGCTGATCAGAAGTTTACTTTAAAAGTTAGGAGCAGAAATATAAACAAAAAATACCAAAATTATTTCAATGGAATCTGCTTTCCCTACCTAAGAACCTGCTTATTATATGTGTGCTAGTAAACCCTGGAGTGGTGCTGTAGGATCAGCACTGGACTACTAACTGCAAGGTCAGCAGTTCAAACCCAGCAGCCGCTCATAGAAACCTTATACAGGGTGGTTATGAGTCGAACCGACTCCACCGCACACAACAGGAAGTCAAGCCCCAGTTTTCTAAGATTTCTTTATACCAGTCAGATCACATTCACTAAGTGTCGATTCATTTCCCTGTCCCAAAGGGCTTGAGATCAACAAGAAAATGATGGTGACTACACACCACCATGCTGAAAGGAAGCGAAGAAATGTGACACCTTAAATCCCGATGTTCTGCAGCCAGGAAATGCATGTGTCCCTCTCAGGGGCTAGTGCTGGAGTGCATTAAAGTTCCAAGGCTCCAGGCTTAGGAATCTCTAACTTTCCAGATGAAGAGTCAACTATAACCTGGTATCTCAGGGAAAAGAAACATACTCCAACAACTTTGGACTGGGGCACGTGATCGTAGGATTCATTTCTGAAACAAGAAGTAAATTTGCTCTGCGTGTCTGGGAAAGAGGTTTACATACAGGCATACCTCGCTTCTGTAAGTGTGGCTTAATTGCCCTCTTAGAGATTACGTTTTTCACAAATCGAAGGTTTGTGGCAACCTTGCATCGAGCAAGTCTGTTGATACCATTTTCCAACTATTTGTGCTCACTTCATGTCTCTCTGTCAGTTTGTTCGAACTACTTCCAATTTTTCATAATGTTATTGCATGCTTTGTAGACTGCACTAGAGTGTAAACATATACCATAACGTTTATGAAACCAAGAAAGTCAGGTGACTCATTCACTTTATGGCAGTGGCCTGGAAGCGGACCTGCAGTGTCTTGGAGGAATGCCTGTATTTCATTTCATTTTGCACTTCATTAACCCTGCAAAACCTGAGGCAGAGAAGTTAAATAACTTGTACCGCTATAAAGTTACCAAGCAGTGTTTGAACTCGCGTGCACTGTTCACGGGTGGCCCCCTGCTTCCACACACCCAAGGGTGGGACCGAAATGAGAGCCAAATAGGTCCTCAGATGACACCCAGAGTCTTCTAGGGTTTTAGCAAGGGAAAGAATATAGATCCGACGTCTGGGTGGGGTGTAGTCCCGAAGGGAAGAGGAAAGCTTGACAGGGGTCCCAGCCTGAGGGGGCGCCCACCCTCCGCGTGCCCGGAAGCCGAAGCGCAGCAGCTCACGTTGCTTTTGGTGGAGAACACGCCATAGGGCAGGTTGTGGATGGGGAAGTCAGAATCCTCTGCCACCGGGATGAACGACATGCTGGCGAGTACTAGCAGGACGGCGGGCTGCGGATAGCGAGCAGGACTGGGCTTGCTGGGGGCAGTCTGGCTGACCCTAGGCCCCTCGCAGAATCCCTTCAGCCCCGCCCCGCCCCAGGCTCGCCCCACTGGGTTGCCCAGTGACTTCCGAGAGCTTGTGCTTCCACACGCCTATTGGCTACACTGACAACTCCCCTGGTTCCGTCCCCGAGCTAGCCTGCCCCGCCCCAATCGAGCCTCGCCCCCAGTCATCTCTGCCTCTGAGTAAGCTTGGTTCCCCCGCCCTCACCCCATTCCCCAGCCCCGCCCCAGCCCCGTCTCAGCCCCGCCTCCGAACGAGTCTAGTCCTGTCCCCCAACCCCTCCCCCGAGCAAGTCTTGTCCCCTCATCCAGCCCCGCCCCCGAAAGGTCCCTCCCCTTCCGTGAGTCCCCACCCAAAGCTATCTTTGCATTTAAGGCTGCGTGGTCGGCTTTCTTTTCCCTAACTGCCGGCCCTACTCTCCAGTTTAACTGTGTCTTTTCTGAACACAGCATATGCTTTCTCTCCAGATGCTGCCTCTGGGCTTCGAAAAGATACGTCAGTAGCGTCCCCTCTGCCTTTATTATTGTTGTTGTTAAGTGCTATGGAGTCTAGTTTGATTCATGTTGTTAGGTGCCATCAAGTCGGTACCAACTCATAGTGACCCTATGCACAACAGACGGAAACACGGACTGGTCAACTTCACAATTGTTGCCACGCTTGAGCCCATTGATGCTGCCACTTTGACAATCCATCTCGCTGAGGGTCTTACTCTTTTTCTCTGACCCTCCACCTTACCAACATGATATCCCTCTCCAGAGACTGGTCCTTCCCGACAATATGTCCGATTTATGAGGGACAAAGTTTGGCCATCCTGGCCTCCAAGGAGCATTCTAGCTGCACTTCTTCCAACACAGATCTATTTGTTCATTTGTTAGCCCATGTACTTTAAATATTCTCCTCCAACACCATAATTCAAAGGCATCAATTCTATGATCTTCCTTATTCATTGTCCAGCTTTTGCATGCATATGAGGTTATTGAAAATACCATGCTGGCATCTTTGCCCAACACTTTAAAAAGGTCTTGTGCAGCAGATTTGCCTAATGTAATACATCATTTAATTTCTTTACTGCTGCTTCCATGAGTGTTGATATTTGATCCAAGAACAATGAAGTCTTTGACAATTTCGATCTTTTCTTAATTGATAAGAATGTTGCTTATTGGTACAGTGGGGAGGATTTTTCTTTTCTTTACACTGAGATGCAATCCATACCAAAGGCTGTGGTCTTTGATTTCCACCAGTAAATATTTTAAATCCTCTTCACTTTCAGCATAGTGGTTACAAATCGGGCTGCGAACCTTAAGGTCAGCAGTTCGAAACTACCAGCTGTTCTGCGGAAGAAAGATGAGGCTTTCTGCTCCCGGAAAGATTTACAGTCTCGGAAACCCTGTACAGGGTCGCTATGAGTCGGAACCGACACCACGGCACATAACCACCACTTCACTTTCAGCAAGCAAGGTAGTATCATCCGCACATGGCAGGTTGTTAATGAGTCTTTCTCCAATCCTGATGCCACGTTTTTCTTCATAGAACCCAGCTTCTCGAATTATTTGCTCAGCATATAGGTCTGATTCATAGTGACCCTGTATAGGGTTTCCAAGGAGCGGCTGGTGGGTTTGAACCGCCGACCTCACAATTAGCAGTCCAGTGCTTATCCTACATGTAGCGCCTCACCAGAAGTCCAGTGACAGATTGTTGTTAAATGCTGTCTAGTTGGTTCCGACTCCTGTATAGGGTTTCCGTGGAGCAGCAGGTTTGAACCACTGACCCTGCTTTATCATACAGTGCCACACCAGGACTCCCACCAGACTGGGAGGTTTAAAGGGAAATTGTTGTTGTTGTTGTTAGGTGCCATCAAGTCAGTACCGACCCATAGAGACCTTATGCACAGCAGAATGAAACACTGCCCGATCCTGGGCCAACCTCACTACTGTTGGCACGCTTGAGTCCATCGATGCTGCCACTTGGCCAATCCATCTCATTGGGGGTCTTCCTCTTTTTCTATGACCCTTTGAGTTACGGTGTTGGAGGAGAATATTGAAAGTGTCATGGGCTGACAAAAGAACCAATAGATCTGTGCTGGAAGAAGTGCAGCCAGAGTGCTCCTTGGAGGCCAGGATAGCCAAAGTTCATCTCTCATACTTTGGATATATTGTCAGGAGGGACCAGTTGCTGGAGAAGGATATCATGCTTGGTAAGGTGGAGGGTCAGAGAAAAGGAAACAGTATTCTAAAAAGTATATAATGCATCCGTTTATTTTACATTGAAGTCTTAAAATGATGTTGACAGTTGTGTTTGGCTTTGGACAAGTTACTTAACCTCTCTGTACCTCAGCTTTACTGTATAATGCAGACAATAATGCTAGTTCCTAGTTCACATAGACGTCCTGGTGTGGTACTGTAGGATAAGTACTGGGCTATTAACCTGAAGTAGGTGGTTCAAACCCATCAGCCACTCCTTGGAAGTCCTATACAGGGTCGCTATGAGTCGGAACCGACTCGAAGGCTCTAAAGAACAAGAAGTTCACATCAGAATTGTTGTGTGGCACTGTAGGATAAACACTGGCCTGCTAACCACAAAGCTGGAGATTCAAACCCACCAGCCACTCCTTGGAAACTTTATACAGGGTACAGTGTGGCACTCTAGGCTAATGTGTCAGACTGCAAAATCGTTTGAAGTGCAAGGTCGGTGGTTCAAGCTCACCAGCTGCTCTTGGAAACCCTGTGAGTCAGAACCAACTTGACAGTACTTAACAACAGCGTTTGTAAAGTGCTTAGACTAGTGTCTGGCATATATAGTTTTTAAAACAACAAAAAAACAGGGAGAGGGGAAAAGGAAAGGAGGGGAAAAAATGATATTTTAACTCTTTCCCGTAAAGGTGTTATAGCTAAATGGGTCACATTGTGTGGATTTGTCATAATTGTGAGGTTGGCACCAGACTAGGCAGTGTTTTGCTTTGTTGTGCATAGAGTCACTATGAGTCGGAACTCACTCAACAACAACAGCAACAACTGACATTTGAGCTAATTAATCTTGGGCAGATTAAGCTTTCCACACATCAGTTTTGGTAAATTTGTAAAGCGGGAGTCCTGGTGGTAGCGCTGTAGGATAAGCACCAGACAGCTACCAGCAAGGTTGACAGTTCAAACCTACCAGTCACTCTTAGAAACATGAGTCAGAACAGACTAACTACCGTGTCAATTCTGACTCAGAACAACCCCATAGAACAGAATAGAACCGCTTGTTTGGGTTTCAGAAACTATAAATCTTTATGAAAGCCAACTGTCTCATCTTTCTCTAGTGGAGTAACTTGGGGGTTTAAACCACCAACCTTATCCCACAATGCCACTAGGGCTCCCTTATAAATACTTAAGTTTATTACTTTTTTTCCTTTTGTATTTATTATATAAAATTTTTATCTGAAAGGAAATGAATAACCAATGAGCCCCTACTTTCCACCAGCCTTTTTGATTGTTGAGTCTCTGTTGTTTGAGGGATGAGTTTCCACTGAATACCCACAAGTTAAGGGAAGCCTAGATTAAAGCCATGCAAAGAGAAAACCAAAAACCTTTTCTGGGGGAAGTGGGTGGGGTAGATGGGCGTGTGGGAAGGGATGTGGGAATGAGATGGTTGAAGGGGGAGTAAGATTCTGTAGTTTTAAAATAGACTAGCCAACCCACTAATTATACATAGTGTCTGAAAACACCAAAACTGTTCTTTATGTCAAGCAACCTTTGAAGTCACTTTCAAGCACATTATATTTTATTTTCTTTCTCTCTTTTTTTGTGGGGAAAGGAGTAGTACATGGGCATCTATACATTACAATAACAGAATAATTTTGAAAGGGAAATTTTTACCCATAGGCTCACAAGTGTACAGTCTTCACATTTTCATGTTATTCTTTGGCTACATTAGTATGCACATGATTTCTTCATCTTTGTAATTTTTGCATAGATGCATTTTTTCATTCCTTTCCTACATTCTCTTTCTGAACATTTTCCCTTGTGGCCAAATAAGCTTCATTATTCTCATTTTCACTGGCTGAAGACGTTGCAACGTTTTATAATGTAATCAAAATAATGCAGTGATGATTTCAAGGATGGAACATTTTCATTTCCCTAGATTAGTGTGGAAGGGTAAATTCCTGAGTCAAAGGATGTGAATGCTTTCAGGATTGGAAGTGAGTGAGTTTCAGCACTTCCACCACAAAAAAGCTGTTTCGAGCCTCAATAGTACCATATTCAACGAGGCTTAGAAGCACAATGCTAAACACTGAGCTGCTAGTCAAGGATGGTGGTTCAAATCCGTCCATGAGCTCCATGGGGAGAAGACCTGGTAATGTGTTCCTGTGATGTGTACAACCCAGAAAACTCTATGGGCAGTTCTACTCTGTAACACATGGTCCCAATGAGTAAGTAGCAAATGATACAACAGCACCCAACAATAACAGCAAACAGTGGCGCAGATGGTAAGCTCTTGGTTGACAGTCTAAACGTTGGTGGTTCAGACACACACACACACCCCCTTAAAGACAAGGCTAGCGATCTACTCAGAAGCATTTGTACTTTGTACAACTGGGGTTTCCATGAGTTGGAATTGACTGGACGGAAACTAACAATAATGGCGGTGATGTCAGTGTGCCGTGGAGTCGGTTCCAACTCATGGGGACCCTGCATAGCATTTCTGAGGCTGTGAATCTTTACGGGAGCAGAAAGCCTCATCTTTCTCCCGTGGAATGCTGGTAGTTTCAAACTGCTGACTTTGAGGTTAGCAGCCCGACTCGTAACCACTATGCTACCAGCACCATAATCCAGCGCTTCCCTCTACTGCTCAAATACAGACCACTACGCAGAGTCGCCAGTAACCTCACTCACACAAGCGTGTCCTCTACTTCTGTACAAGAAAGTAGAGAAGGGGTCTTCTGGATCCAGGGACATTGATGCCTTGTACTCCAGGCAAC